TATATATATATATATATATATAAAATTATCATAGCTTTTCTCAATCAACTTAAAATTGGCACAAGATGAAATGTATGTATCAACAAGCATGTCATATTTTGAGAAGCTTCCAAAGTTGAATGAATCTATCATAGATTAGGATCAAAAGTTTGGGCCACGTTTGAGTGAAGCTCCCAACTCGTCTCCAAGTGCAGCATTATATATATCTTATTAACTTCGTCTTCTTCTGCTTATGCGTCAATTGTCCGTATTGCACAATTTTGACTAGCTAATCCTAGCGCGTTTTGCAATTAAATAAACTCATGTCACTATGCTTATATAGTTGTCTATCTAGTAGGGCTAGAGGAAGGCAGTAGTAGTCAAAATTTGTACCCTGGCTGTTTAATTACTTCTTCACGCGTTTAATTATTGTTTATTTCACAAGTTTTGACCTGAGTTTATCATTGGTTAAGTGTTCTAACAACCTTGATTCTACTTTTACCAAAGAGTTTATATAATTAGTGCAAATTGTTCTAACAACGTAGTATTTCAACTTCTTATGCCCCGCGGCTTCTCTTCTTCGTCGAGAAAGAAAGCAGTATGAATGAGTTCTAATGTGTCAATAAAAGTACAACATCACTAATTAAGCTAAATAGCGTGTTTGAATTTTCATATCCAATTATAAAGTAATATGTCTAAAATACCTGTACTTCTCTTCCAATTCATATATGCTTTTCATGTATTACGGTCGCTGGACAACGCGAGAGAACCTGATGGTTTATATAGTTATGTATTTTCTCTAACTTATCGGAGATACTATATACGACCTATACGAAGTATCAATCCACATGATTAGAAACTAACATTGAAATAGTTGAACTGAATCAGGTACGTAGTAGCTAGGTGTACGTGTAAAATGGTACATACATGATATTCCTCTGTGCGTAAAAGACAAAACGTTGTTATTATTGATATGGTTAGCCTAATTAACAAAAAGAGCATCATAATTTGTTGAGAGAGCCGCTAACAAAAGGCTGCAGGGAACTTCTATATTCTTATCTTAAAAAAAAAAATCAGGCAACAGAGAATATTGAAGTTTTTTTTTTTATGAAGAGAATATTTAAGTTCAATTATTGAGTTGATGATGGTCTCTCAAAAAACTATTTGTATACATATTAGCAGAATATCAAGAAAACAATACAATTTTGATCAGAATAAACGACGCAATTAAGTGTGACATAATTTGGGATTTATTTTGGCAATATGCAACAGAATTCTCTCTGCCACGGCAATTATTATTATTCATTTAAGATGGGTGGTAGATGTCAGTGTCGCCGCTCTTCATAATTTTAAAAAAAGGTTTATGACCTGTATATTTAATGTTTTTTTTTTTTATATATTGATTGATAGATGGGTGCGTATAAGATAACCCGAATATGGCCACATTTTGGTAGTCGGTTTTTTCCTTAATTTGAAGATTCAACTACTAAAACTGTCGTCTTGCCCCCATTTAACAACTTCAAGAGTTCTAAATTATACCTCAGCATTGAGCCCTTGAATACACGGGGTTTTCTATTTAAATTTTTTGTTTGTCATAATTTCTTCAAAAAAATTTCATATGTGACGATTTGTTAAGAGAAAGGGTTTCAACCAAAAAAGAAAAAAAGAGAGAAAGGGAAGGAAGATACACAGATCGAGAGTAGCAAAAGCCAAGGCAACAATGAAGTCTTTGACTAATAGGAAGAATGCGTCGATATGTTGGCTTGGGATTCATCATTCACCGCCCACAAGGGAAATAAAACTGTGCATGCATGCATGTAAAATTATAGCGCTCCCAAAATGCATGCATGCTATACATCACATTTAATTACTGCCATTAATTGACGGAAGCTTCCCGGCGGCCGGCCACTGCCACTTGCATGCAGTGCCACGGCGGCGCCCACCACCGTCACCGTCGGATTTGTAGACTTATATGCTACACTCTCCGATTGCAACACTGATTATATTAATGTATCTGTTGCATCAACATCAATAGCACAATCGATGATTCAAACAGGCTAGCTAGCTAGCGATATATATCCATCGATGATAGATTCTCAATATAGACGACAATGGACGAAACGTTAGACGAAGTCATGTGGTTAATCAGCTACGCATCCATGGACTTTGAGAGACCATATTTCACTACATATAGATAACTTCTTTTTTTTTTAACTCGCGGTTGGAGATCGGAAAATTGGAGGATCCGACAAATCAAGTAAATGAAAACTAGAAATGAACACGACACACGGATTTACGTGGTCCGCTAACACGATGTGTGTAAGCTAGTTCACGTAGAGCCAGTTTCACTATACGTCAAGGAGATACAGATTACAGAGGATATATGAGAAGTATTTATAATACTTCTGCATGTGGTCTAAACCCAATCCAATCTAATAAAGGAAAACAGTCACAAACCAGACCCAGAGCACACTACAAGAAAACACACATGCAGTCATGATTTTTTTCATGGCTAAAACTAACTATTTTGTAGCTATATCATATAGCTATAAATAATTCGCCTTGTAGCTTGTATGGCTAAAAGTGCCGCAGCTAAAGGTTAGCTACGTATTTTGTCACTTACATGGCTAAAACTAATTGTTTTAACTATGAACTACATATAACATAGCTAAAAAGGCGATATGTTCTTGCTACAAAAGTTATTATAAGTAGCAGAACCATCAATATATTTAGCTATAAAGACTATAATGCATGGCTTTATCTAATAATTTGCCACAAATAGTTTCATTTGGGATTTGTCAAAATATGTTTCTTGCCATAAAGTACGAGATATATATAGCTTCAGACAAGATTTCTCGTGGCTCTTTTAGTTGTTGATTTGCCACAAATATTTTTGTAACTAGAAAATTCTATTTCTCACTACGAAAAAAACTGTGGCGAAAGATATAGGCTATAGCTTTAAATACTTTTTTTATGGCTAGAATATTTATTCTTTTGTTACGAATCATTTTGTAACCATAATATCAAAGTTCTGGCTACTAATATAAAGCATCATGGCAAAAGGTTTAAATAGCTTCGGAGAGACGTGTTGTGGCTAAAAGTGAACACATTATTTGCCACAAATAATTCTATAGCTATATCGCTTGTTCTCTTGCTTCATGTATTAACAATCGTGGCTCAATCATTCATAATTTTGCCACAAATAATTTTTTGTGACTAGATACTTTAAATTTTCGCTACAAAATATGATTGTGGCTACATATTTTACATCTAGCTATGGGGGAACTTTATGTCTAAATTGCTTTGTAACTGTAGCTAATTTTACATTATGCTTTTGTAAAAAATTATTTCGCTAAAAATTTGTTTGTTGGCTTCGGTATGATAAATCGTGGCTATAATATGCAAATCACAATTGTCGCTCAAAGACTCATTTTATTCTTTTTTTTTATCCACAAATTATTTTGATAATATATAGCGTATTAAATAATGCTGCCAAATTTAACATAATAAATAATCAATAAATAATATTATTAAATATCCAACAAAGATTCTCAAAAAAAAAAAAAAAATCCAACAAAGATGGCCTCCAAAATAGAATGACAATTCTTAACAGAGTTCTACTAAAATAAAAGTAATTGTCTTCATAAAGAAAAAATAAGTTCTTCAAATCTTGCAGATAACTATGTATTTTCCATAACCTGCAAAAAAGAGAAAATGTATTAAACTCTTCAATTGGAAAGACGAGATTCGAGTAGCATTTGAAAACAAGATCATATTAACATATATATACAACTACATAGTTAACAACAACGTTAAAAAAAAACTCATAGCTAATATCAAATTGGTGACTTACTTCTTCATCGGACATATTTCGTGAAAGTGGAGGTTCCCTTCCAGCAAGTAACATCTGAAACTTTTCTTCCCATTTTCTGTTCATCTCGGCCATTTGTTTTTCAACGTCTTTGGTAATTTGATGTACTCGTTCATTAGCTTCCTTCTTGGCTTCTTCAACCTGTTCCTTGGCTTCCCTTCTAGCAGCTTCCACTTGCTTTGTAAGTTCAGCTTTTGTTGGCTTAATCCCAAAATATTCAGTGACACCTTTCCCAGGTCCATAAGCACGCACATAACCATTCTTCTCGGGTCCAAGAACCTTTTCAAACATTTCTTCATCATTAATAGAAATATGCCCTTCAACACGTTGTTTTTTTAACTGATCAAGTTGAGACTGCAATGAGAACAAAAAATTATGAGATTAAAATAATAATTTAAATCTAAACGAAATGAGTATGTTTTCAAGCTTGATGTGTTTATGGAGTTCACTTACAAGGGCAATCTGTGAATCAGAATCTAGAGCTTTTCCTTTCTTTCTCTTGCGCGATTCAATCCAAACATCCACACGAGAAGGTGTAGCCCCATTTCTCTTTTTCTAAAATAGAAATTCTTTTTTAGTTTTTATTTTAGTAAGTTATATAATAAATTAATTTGTATGAGAAAACATATATAATACCATTTGATATCGAAGCCGTGCAAGACTTTTCGTTCCAGTGTAAGGTGGCATTGAACGCTTCGATCTGTTCCTTTTGTTTATCAAGCTCCTTTCCTACATCAATTACAAATGGTATGATGGAAAAGTACGTGAAAACAATAATATAACATGTATTATATAAATTATTCTAGTGAATAAGAATATGTGATGGAACCTGAAATGGTTGATCACTCCATAAATTAACAAGATACTTCCAATCACTGATGGAGACTCTTTTAGGCTTATTTTTCAGACGACTTTCATAGTTATTCTTCTTGTTGAAGTAATTCCTCTTCAGTTTATGCCTATAATCTCTGTACAGAGCATTCATGTGACCAATGATTGATTCCATCCTACCCATTGGGAGTTCAAACGTGAACTTCTCCTACGAGAAGCAATAAATGAAAAGAATTGTAGTAAGAAAACAAGTATATAAAATTTCTATTCAAATGCTAAATAAGTCCCAAAAAAATGAATGAAAAATGTGATTGCTTACCATTATGATTCCCCACATATGATCTATTGCATCTCTACTGATATCCTTCCATTCCTTCACTTGCAAAGGACAACAAGAACGATTTCGAACAGTTACTCCCAAAAATGCTACAAAACTTGTTGCATTTTCACCAACCGGTTGATGATCCTCATCGAATTCTACAGATAATTTATTTCCTTCCTCCAATCCGATAATTCTTATACAACGGGTTGGACCCCTTGTCTTCTTCTTTTGTTTTTGTGGACCTATTTGTAAATTATTGGGAAAAAAATGAGATATTGCATTGTGTTAATTTATCGTTAGCAATACTTAGGTGGTAAAAGTAAGAAAATTGCTATTATAATGTATTAAATAAGAAATAAAAGTATACAAACCTGTGTCATTATGCTCCGAACCAATATTTGTTTCCCCCCCATCTTCTGATGAATCATCATCCATATGAACTTCTCCATCAAGATGTGCATTTGGCAGAACATCATGTTTGCTTGACAAGGTGTATATTTCAAAAGTAGAAATTCTACATTTCTTATATGAGGAAAGCATGGATAGAACGCCATCATCATCCTCCAATTGTACCAGCCCGTTCAAATCACTAATGGGAGTTTTGGGTTTAAGATAGTAGAACTTATCTCCATTAAGGACACTAAACCCACACATCTTAAGATCATCTAAGATAGTAAAATATGAAAGGAAGTCCACCTCATGGTCATCTTTTACCATTATATTTCCAGCTGTGTACTTTCTACGAGGTGAAAAAGTGAAATGGCCTCCATAATGATATCGGATTGATAATTTTTGCTCATCCACATTTTCTACAACAAATAATTATAAGGTAAACAAATATTAGAAACTTTTATTAATACATTATATTACTCTATACACATTATATACATTGAACAGTAAAGGTCAATCAACTTAAAATGTAATTTTAACCAATTAAAGAGTCGAAAAGAGAAGGCACATACCTTGAACATCACTAGTTGCTCTCGCCGGAGAAGTTTGGACAGAAGGATCTACTGAACTTGCAAGACCCTTGTCACCCAAACGAGATTGATCAACAACATTTTCTTGTTCAGGCTCTCTTTCAAACAGGTTGCCTTTGTCTTTTTGTTTTATATTCTTTTTTCCTTTTCTAAAACCTCCACGTCTTGGCATGATTGATGGTCCACCTGAGTCAGTGTAATGATATTTGAGAATAAGCTACTACATAAGAAGCCATGATTCTAATTCTGGAATGAATATAAATAGTGATACGCAAGTAAACATATATAAACACAAAAGAGTTCAGGAACAACACAAGCCCCAATATTTTGCTATCTAAGCGTAGGCTAAACAACAAAGGAGGAAAAAATAAACCCCATACTCCATGAAATTGAACGAGTGACCTAAGTCATGGTGAAAATACAATAGAAACGTAACTCTGCAGTAGACGAGAGAAAAGCTTGAAATAATTTGCCTATTAATTACCTCGTCAAAGAAGCTTTCCAGTAATCGCAATGCTCGTCGATGCAGCCTATGATGACTAGGGATGGCAATCAAACCCATGGCCGCGGGTACCCGACCGCCCCATACCCAGTCAACGCGGGGAATCCCCGCTTTGACCGGGTATGGGGCGGGTATGGGTAAAACCCGCAAAAGGTTTGATGGGTATGGGGCGGGTATGGTTTTAGCCTCCCCCGCCCCATACCCATACCCATACCCGCCCCACCAAGAGAATTTCTTCACATATCAAAAAATACGTGGATTAAATTGTAATCTATCAATGATGATGATGATAACTCGAGAAAATAAATAGTAGAAATGCAATTGAGTAACCACCTTAATCAAAACCTAATTCATTTCCCTCAATTCTCCTTCCACTCTTTCACTTTCCCCCTTGTCAACAAAATTATGTTAGTTAATTATTACTTAGTAAATGTATCAAGAGTTAGAGCATAATAATTTAAAAAATATTATAGTCTTTATTATGTATTAATGGATGTTTTAGGATCATATTCTTTGTTTATGGTTATAATTAAAACTTTTCTTGTAAGTTTATGGTTAGAAAATGACCGTGTTTTGTTGACTTCGTGATATAATAGGTTTGTTTATGGTTATTGTTTGAACCTAACTGAGTGTAGGAGTGAGGTCCGAGTGAGGGTTTGGGTCAAGAAGAAACACAGGCGTTGGGATTGCTCGGAGAGGGTAAAGATCAGAAAGTTGAGTGAGAGTGGGAGTCCCGTTTCTAGAAAGAGAAATAGTTGTTATAGAGAGAGAGTGGTGAAAAATGCGATCCCCTCACCCACCGTAGTAAATGCCGTATTTATAGGCTTCATTGTGGTGGGTGAGTGGTTGACCCAAGTGGGGATACAAGATGTGACAATTGGGATACAACGATGTGACCACTGGCACATACTAAGGATTTTAGGCTCTGTCCAGGCCATCCCTCTACCTAGGACGTGTCAGAGACTTGCCACTGGTCTTGATGTGACCACTTCCTGGGGAGTAAAGCTACGCTTCCCTCCTCTCTTGGCTTGGCCTGCGCTATGCTCTTCCTCGGCGCCTGTAACTCGTATCGCGCACAAACTCTTCGCGCCAGGACATGGTTGACCACGATGAGGTGTCGCGCTCGGGGTCTTCGCGCTGCTATGTCGGAGTCCATCCAGTCGCGCCCACTCCCTGACGTGGCTAGGCCCGAGTCACATGCCCAACAATTGCCCCCCATCAGGGGGTGTTTTGCGAACACCTCCTGTTTGGATTTTTCCTGAATGACTCGGGCCTGCGTGGTCTCCGTGGTGCTGGTTTTTTGGGTCTATTCCGCTCGTCTATTCCGCTCGTCGTGATCGGTTGGCTCCCGCGCATGCTCGCGTTTAGGTTTTTAGGCGCGCGCGATATTATGAAGCATCGGCGCGATTGCTGGAGCGCGCCCGCGATGTGTGGGAACTTCGCGCGCTCGCGCGCTCGCGTGATACCCGGTACTGCGTGAAGCATGTTTTTCTACCCTCGCGGGTATGTCTTGCGCGCCCGCGGCACATCGCGCACTCGCGCGTCGCGTGATACCCGGTGCTGCGTGAAGCATGTTTTTCTTTCCTCGCGGGTATATCTTGCCCCCCAGGCGGTGCGCGGCACTCGTGGCGTCGCCGACTAGTGCCTATGTTGGTAGGTGTCCACGTGTCATTGTGTGGTTAGGTTATTTGGGCGGGGATTTTTGAATTTCGAAAAGATTTGGTAGGATCTGACGGTTACGGATCCCTATGTTGCTTTAACCCTTCGCCTTCCGCTAGCCGACATTGGCCCCTTGCATTCCTATTGGCCCTTTATTTTCCCTCCGACCCACTATAAGAATGGGTTGTTGTGAGAAGTAAGGACTCATCTGTTTCCTCTGATTTCTGTTTTCTTTTGCTTTCACTGAGATTTGCTTTCTCCTCCTTCTGCAACCTCGATCCTTCTTAACTGTTGCCAAGTTTCTAGTCGACATCATGTCCGGCGTCAACAACAACAACGAGGCCGAGGTCGTGCAAGGCGAAGAAGGTAATTTCTCCCCTCTCTCGCACACTTCTTCTGACCGTTCCGGTGACGGGGACGGTGGTTCTGGGGGTTGGGATGACGGGTCTGGCGGCGGACGTGACGGTGGTGACGGTGGGATTCCGGCGACGCCGTCATACGATGCCAGGTCCGGCGACGGTGTCGGAAGCTCCTCCGACGTGGGTGATATTCCCTCCGGCAGTGGGGAAGCCATGCAGCAGGCTCGAGGAGTGATGATCATCCGGCGTACTCCGGGTGGTCGACCGGTAGGGGCCGATGAAGTTATCGACGATGAGGTTACCGACGATGAAGTCGTCGATGATGAGGCCGCGGACGAGATGGCGCAAGGAGATATCGCTGCACAATTCGCGCCGCGCGCCATTGAGCGCGTTTCCGAATCTTTCGCCCGTCTGGGGCCGCAAGGCGTCGGCGCGACCTACCGTGTGATCGAGTGGGCCGAGATGTGGGGCGATCAGCCGGCGCCCTCGGACAACCTTAAGCGCGGACCCGAGCACTCCTCATCATACGACGTGGACGACGTGGAGGAGTTGGTCCGCGGGCTGGGCTTGCCCCCCCATTGGGAGTACGCTGCGCCGTCGGTGCGCAGCATGGTGGGCAATTGCCCCCCTGGTTGGTTCGGCGTGTACACGGAGTACTGGGCGATGGGGTTCAAGTTCCCCATCGATCCGCTGTTGTGCGCGATCTATGAGCGCCTCAAGTGCTCCGTCGGGCGGCTCTCTCCTTCAGTCATCATGCACGCGAGCTGCCTCCGTCTCGCGTGCAAAAGGCTCAACATCGAGCCTACGTATGGCCTGTTCAGGAAGATGTACAAAATCAAGGAGCCCACCAGGGTGAGCGACTGTCTCTCCATCATGCGGCGCGACCACCGCCCCGATGGTTTTGTGTATGGCTCGCCCAAGCTGAAGAAAACCTGGTTCGAGGAATTCTTCTATGTTAAGCCTACCCCCGGGCAATGGGCTAGCGGGACCATGGCGGAGCCCACCACCTGGGAGAAGGGCAGTACACATGGGTTCGAGTCGGACGTCGGGTTCTATGTCGGGCTGAACGACGAGTATGAGGCTTGCATGCCTCATCGCATCAATTTATACGCCAAGGGAGTCCGCGAGGCCTGCTTGGAGGAGCTGTTTGGGGATGGTTAGTTGTGTTTTCTTTCCTTTGTATTCTATCTTATTAACCGCTCTCTTACGACTTATTGGCGCAGGTGTTGATTTCTCCAACATCGCCAGTATGATGTCGGTGGACGACGTCGCGCCCCGCGCTGACAAGAAGAAGAAGAAGAAGAACGTCGCGGCGCCTAAAGCTTCGAAGCGGAAGGATATTGAGCAGCCGCCCGCGCAGGCTGTCGAGAGGCCCCGCAAAACGATTCGCATCACGGAGCCGACTCCTCTGGCGGTGAAGCAGACACCTGCCGCGCCGCAGCTGACCGCCGCGCAGCAGCTGTCCTTAGCGTTGTCCCAGCCGGAGGCGACGGTGACCAGACCCGGTCGTCGGGATGTGAGTGGGGCGAGCAGCTCCTCCGGAGCAACCGCCAATGTTGCCCCCGCCAGTGCTACTCCCGCTACCGCCGCCGTCCACCAAGTCCGAGACGTGCGGATCCATACCGCGGCGGCGTGCAACCTGGTCTCCGCCAACCATGCGCTCCGGGCGATCGGGCCCGTTCTCACCGTTCCTCCGCGGGTGAAGGAGACAGACCCCCTCCATGATCTGGCGCAGATCCACTTCGCGGTAAGTCCTAGTTAGACCCCCGTAGTTTAGGTTTTACCTTCTTCTCTTCTCTTCCGTTTTCCCTTTTATTGCTATCGCATTTGGCTAAGGCTCGTGGCGTCGTAGGGTCTGTCGGCGACATTCCGAGCGCAGCAGGAGCGCGCCGCGATGCGCGCGAAGATGAAGGCTGACGAGGCGCAGATCGTGCAGCTGGAGGGGAAGGTGCTGGGGGCAAATAACCGGGCCGAAGACGCGACGTCCAAGGCCAATGAGGCATTGGAGTCGCTCGGCCTCTTGCAGAGCCGGTTGGCCGCGGATGTGGAAGCGGCTAAAGAGAAGGTGCGGAACGAAGAGCGCTCCGCCCTCCGGGAAGAATTGGAAGCCTCCTTCTCTGAGAAGCTACGCAAGGCTCGCGAGGACTTCCAGAAGGAGAAGGACGACCTTGTCCGCCTTCATACCGTCGCGAAGGCTGAGGCCGTTCGCGCAGCTGAGGTCGCGGCTGTCCGCCAGTTCAAGTCTTCCCAACCTTTCGGGAAGATCATGGCGGATGCCATGACCAAGGCCGTGATAGCGGTCGGCAAGA